ATCTCTGGACACATAGGTAGAATAGTGGCAGTGAGAGCAACGGTGAGTGTCAAGGACTCAGAACATCCAACATTGTGAATTACAGCAGACCATCTAGCAGCACTCAACATGTCTCTGGTATCTCCATGCACTGCTGAGGAAGGCTTGCATAGCAGCCCCCCCGCCCCCAGAGACGGCATGCAGAAAACCTATCTGTTCTCTCCAGTTGGATTGGTCTCCTCTGCATTTCCTCTACTCTCCCCAGTTTCTGGCTCCTTTGCCTGCTACAGGGGAGGGAGTAGGGGTGCAGAAGCCTGGCTCCTGCTGTCAGCAACTCTCTGCACACTAATGCAAACTGGATGTGATTTGTTAAGCAAGGCAGTTCCGGAATGATCTGGGAATTCCACACCATGGCCCAGGCCATTCTTGGGCACCTAACACTGTCCTTATAAATCTAATGTGGGGATTCTTCTCTCAAAGCAAACATTGCTTTACTCTCAGTATCTTGTAACCACACATATAGAAGAAGCAGGATCCTGGGGAAGGAGTCTGGACCCCGGTCATGATTCCCTGAGCACCAGGTGGGAAGTGGCCTTGGACTTGGACCTCTCCCGTCACTCCAGACTCAGACTTCTGATCTTTCCAAGGGTCTGAAAGCTGCTCATCCTGCCTATGGGTATGGGAGGGAAGGCACAGTATCTCCTGGGAATTCACCCCAGGACTTTCAAACTGGCATCTGGTTTCATTTCTAGAGCATTGGCATCTCTGGCTGTCCCTGGCATTTCTTCATCTACAGGCTCCTTTACCTCATTAGCATTCCCTGTTTGGGGTTTTGTGGCTTTTATTGGGGGGCAAACTGTGAAATATCTTTCTACTCTCAGTTGCTTCATCCCTCTGCCCCAGGCAGATCTGGAAGGATCATATAAGTAGCCCTGTTGCTGCCAGCTTTCAGAACTGGTTTCCAGGCTGAAGTAGCCTTGGAACTCTAGTATGTCTTGGTCAAGAGTGGCTCTGAGCTGTTCCCAGACCCAACCACATCAAAAGCTCTGTCCTGGGCTTATCACAGGGGGAGGTTCAAGTGAAGCAGGAAGAGTGCAGAGAATGGAAGTCTGTTCATTGACTACCCTGAATGCCGGGAGCTATGCAAAGTGCTCCATACATGTGCCCTGCTGTCATCCACAAGAGCTCCATGAGTTAGTTGTCATAGCTTCTCTCATGCAACAGAAGAAATGGGCCCAGAAGTGTCAATTGATTTGCCTGGGGTCATACATCTGTTACAGGGGTGCTCAGAGCCATAGCGTCTCTTTTGACAGAGTGAGTCTCAGGCTGAACACTGTTAGACAGCAGCCCTCTCCAAATGTAAGGTGTTTTTCTCTCTGTTTAAGGGTCCTACAGGGTCTTCATCACTTACTGTCCCGGGATACCCCATCTTCATCTCAGACTTAAAGCCCTGTCTGACTGCACACAGGAATCAGCCTGGGAGTCTGGGAAGCCTCCAACACAAGGACCATTTTGAACAGTCTTGTATTTGGAGTACTTTGAAGGCAGTCTTCATGCACAGCCACAGCAGTATCAAGGCAAGCCAGATGTAGCATCAGGTGAGCTATAGGCTCACCACCTGTCCAGCCTGTAACACACAAAGAGGCCACCTCTGGGAAGGCCTCCCTGATGGGTGCTCCTCATCTTCAGGAATTATTACACTGCAATAGCCTCTTCTGGATCCCTGTGCACCCCACCCTCCACTATGCTATGAGAAGATGATGGCCATTTAACATCCTGCTGTGTCCCCGTTTACACACAGGTACCCTGCTGTGGCAAGAAAGTAGATATGGAGAATGTCATCAAGATTAACATATGGGGCTAGAGAGATGGTTCAGTGCTTAAGAGCCCTGGCTTCTGATGCCCTTTCAGAGGACCAGAACTTGATTTCCAGCACTTATGTTGGACAGTGCACAACTGGCTAACTCCAGCTCCAGGGGATCTGACACCTTTTTTTCTGGCTTCTGTGGGCACTGTACACACATGCATATACGTGCACACCCATACACACATGTAAAAGTAAATAATAAACCATATCTTTAAAAAATATTAATGTAAGGAAAAAACAATTGGCAGGGCTAGAAAACAAAACAGAATGCCAAGTCCCATCTGAGAAGACAGTGCCATCTAAATGACCTATAAAGTGTCATAGATGGGCGATGAGGGGACTCGGCTTTTGAGTCTGGGACCTGTCCCAGCTCTCTAACCCATCCCCACTCTCAGGAGTGCCTCTCTCTCCCTTTATAACTAGTCCATCACTATTCATGGTCTATATCTTTGTTCTGGTTCACAAGAATTTGGAAATCTTAGCTTTAACAACGGAGCTGCACTTAGTGGCAGAGTAGACGAGCGAATGGGTGAGCGGGACTCAGACCACTTTTTAAGGGCCCTAGGAACAGGGTAGAGAACTAAGTAATTCAGAACCTTCTGAGGCTATGCCTTGGAAGGTCCCAGAGGCTGGGGAATTCTGCTTCTAAAGCAAGGGAGCCAGCCCAAGCTATGGTCAGAATAGTCCGGTCCCTTGATGTTTGTTTTTCCTGCCTTGCAGTCCCCTCTGCCAAAGCCAAACAAGAAGGAAGAAAGGAGGTTGTGGAGAATAGAAATAAACACACGGGGTTGGGAAAAAGGGCTCTGCAGTTTCTGCAGCTGCGGAGTGGGGGTGGGGGTGGGGGGCCCAGGGATAATTTGGACCATCTGCCCATTAAGAACGTTGAACTTTCATTCTCTTATAAAGGAAGAACTCCTCATGCCCTGAGCTGGCCTGGAGTCCCCACCCCCTAGGCTGGGGTGACACTTCTCAACAGGAAATGTGATCCATATGGGAGCATGGGAGCCATCCCTGAAACGAAGGAAGGCATTTCTGGGGAGGCTCTCCTGGAGGGCATTGCCCATGGGTGTGGGTGTAGAAAACACTATTTATTGGGGGAAGGGTTTCTGCTCTGACCCTAATGGGGGACTTGGTGCCTCTTCAGGGTGTTTTATTAGATGTTCTCAATGGACCATTGCCACCACCCTCCTCCAAGGAGACTGAAAAAGGAAAAGACTTTCTTTAGGTTACCTGAAGAAGTGACCCCCTCCTGGGTTTTTCCTGTGCTGGGTTTCCCTTATGCTGGGTCTCTGGATGGAGGTCACACCAGTATACTAAGGACTTTATTAGGGTAGAAGATGTAGCAGATATGTCCCCTGAGGTGCCCTGACTGCATCATTGCCATATATCTGTCTATCTGCCTGTCCATCTGTTCATCTACCCATCATCTATCTAATCTATGTATGTATGTATGTATGTATGTATGTATGTATCTATCTATCTATCTATCTATCTATCTATCTATCTATCTATCTATCATCTATCTGTGTGTGCTCTGTCTGTAGAGGCCAGAGGATGAAGTCAAGTGTCTTCCTCTACTTTTCTCCATCTTATTTTTTTGAGTCAGGATCTCTCCCTAAGACTGGACTTCATCATTAACAGGACTAGATGGCTAGGGATCCTCTTGTTACTTGTCCAGCACTAGGATTACACATGTGTACCACCATATTGGGGCTTTTTATGTGGGTTCTGAACTCAGGTCCTCATGCTCATGTGGCAAATACTTTACCAGCAAAGCCACTTCCCTACTCCCCAGTATTGGCTCTTTTTTCCCCCAGCTTGGTCACATGGTCTTTGGAAACTAAGTGCATGGCTCTGATGCTGCTAGTCCTGTCTGCCTGGTTCCTGGTACTTGTCAATAAAGATGTGTCTAGGGGCTGGTGACAAGGTTCATAGGTTAAGGTGCTACCAAGCTTGACAACCTGAGTTAGATCTCTGGGGCCTACATGGTAGGAGAGATCAGACTCCTGACCTCCACATATACACAAAATAAATAAATTAATCTTATTTTTAAAAGATATACCTTAGGGCTGGAGAGGTGGCTCAGTGGTCAGGAGTACACTCTGCTCTTACAGAGGACATGAGTTTGGTTCCCAGCAGCCACATAAGGTGGCTCACACCATCTATATAATTTCAGCTCCAGTAACTGGTGTCTCCATCAACAGACACCTATACTTGTGCACATACCAACAGCACACATATGTATAGTTGAAAATAGTAAAACTAAACCTTTAAAAATGCATCTATCAAATAATAAATGGAGAGGTCACCTTGCCATCTTGGAGCTAGGAGCTTACACCATGGCAGTGGGAGAGGATCGAAGCCCAGAGCTTCTCACAACTACATTTGTGGGTGTCTACCAGGCAGCTGTGTGGATAGCTGAGGCTCTCCTCTCTCCTTTTGTTTTCTGGCCTTTCAAATGGCATTAAGACAAGAGAGCCAATGAACCTCTTTTTATCTTCCAGGCTAGAAAGGGAGTCGGAGAGCCGGGAGACAGTGAAGAGTACTGATTGCTTGTGTCAGTGGGCCTTGAGCTTCCTTACTCAAGCCCTCCAGGGGGAGATGCTGACATTTGAAAGATCTCTCTGGCAAAGGATTTATGGATCTATTGTTTAACAGTGTGTGTGTGGGGGCACCCCACCCCACATACATCCCCTCACCCCACATACATCCCCTCAGGCCCAGTGGCCACTCCTGAGGATGTGTTTTTTTCTCCTTCCACACACTGGTTCCTACATTGGTTTGGGTCCTTCCAAGTCCAGGGCTCAGCAACCACAAGTCTATATTGTAAATCCTCACCTGGATACTCAGCTTTGTACTAAGGCTGCCACCCTGGGTGAGGACATGCCCCCTCAGTAGTGTCTGCCTCTGTTTGAGGGATGACACACTGGGAACTTAGAGACAAGGGTGGTCCATTTTTGTGTTGTGAAACTCAGCATGAGGCAGAGGGAGGATCATGGTGGGGACTGTGGTGTAGTGGCAAGTGGCAAGTGACCCTCCCAGGCTGAGTCAGCAAGGAAGCAAATGCGCAGCCTTACCACCACAGCACCCACAAGACCTCCCTGGAGGTCTTTTCCCATTTCTTTCTTTTTCCATCTAAATCTCATTGACATACTGACATCTCCTTGAAGAAAAGAAACTGGTTGCCACCCACGGGGGAGGCAAGGCCATCTGAAGATGACCCCAAGTACCCTCCAAGGTGTCTTCCACATCATGGAAGTCAGGACATCAATCAGTGGCAACCCTCAGTCTTTCCAGCTTCATCTGCAGGGTTCTCATCTTAACTCTACCACCCAGTACCACAAGGAGAGAGAGCTCAGGGTTCCAGGGGCTGCGAATCACTCTTGAGTTTGTTTGAAATGCTTTCTAAACAAACAGTCCACTCTCTCCGAGTTTCCATGTATATCTCAACTTTGCTTCAACTTAAACTTTATTTGTACAAAACCCACGTCAATGACCCAAACTTCAGATCTTTAGTGGTCTCAAGGCCTTTAAATATTTTTAGTTTATTTTTTTTAATGTGTATGTCTGTGTGTGTGTGTGTGTGTGTGTGTGTGTGTGTGTGTGTGTAGGCCAGAAGAGAGTGTTGGGTCTGCTGGAGCTGGAGTTAGAAGCATTGTGAGCCACCCCATGTGGGTGCTGGGAGTAAAATCTTGGGGACTCTGGAAGAGCAGCAAGCTTTCTTAACTGCTGAGCCACCTCTCCAGCACTGTCAAGGCAGTGTTTACTCACCTTCTGCCTGAGCTTTGGATCACTAAGGGTTTTCTTGCAGGGTAAATCCCAGAGAGTGGATTTATCCTCTGAATCCTAAGGGAGCTGCCTCCAGGCCCTGGGCAGAAAGATTGACAGGCACAGAGCCATCGGGAATGAGCTAGCAGTATGCTGGGCCCAGAACAGTAAACTGGTTGGCTTGACTAGCAGGCATGAATACCCCACAAGAAAAGCTGTTCAAGCAGTCAGCTCTCCCAAATCCTGAATATGCCCCTGGCTGCTAACTCTTGCTTAGAACAAATGCCAAACATTCATTTGTTTATTGTTTCCTAACTCGCTGCCCTTCTCAGGCACTGGTCCTTGACTCCTGTATTCACTTAGATGTGTTTAGAATACAGACATTAGCAGTCTGTTAATGACCCCAGCACTGCTGTGTTCACTTCTTTTAGCATTGGCATCCGCATTTGTTCCTTGCTTGGGCACAGGACCCCATTCCTGCCTCTCTTCAGCTGACCAGGGATGGCAAGAATGTCCTTTATAAGGGAAGAAACAGGAGGAGGTGCCCGCTCTGTGAGACATTTTAGTGATTGACCAAGGAGGTCATGGGAAGCCCAGGGACCCTGTGAGACTGAGCACTGAACCTATGGAGTCCATACTAACTCCAAGCAGATAAAGTAGGACATCTAGCTGGTGCCAGGAGACTTGTGGTATGGGGAAAAGCCAGCCTGAGGTCATAGCATGTGAACAAGCTCAGAAGGAACTAGAATTTTCTCTGAGCTGCCCCATGGTTCATACTGTTTGTTTAGAGTTTTGTCAGTTGGCATCTTGTCTTTGTTTAGAGTGATGTTTCTGAAAAAGACCTGATTAAAGACAGGGCACCCCAAACCCAAGCAGGAGCTGGAGCAGAGGAGCAACCTGGATGTACAAAAGGGATAGTTCCTAGAGGAGGAAGGGCCCACCTGGCGTGCCTTGGGTCTTGGGAAGGAGGGAGGCCATCAGGGATGACATAGCCTCTGGTTGGTGCTTCCCCCAGTCACCCCCCAGTGCTCATTTCTACTTACACCCTGTGGTGCCTTTCCAAAGGCAGAGGGAGGGTCAAGGCTAACCTCCTGACCACTGAAAAGCTTTGGGGCAGGGGTGGGGTGGGGATTCTCACTTGTCCCTTGAGACTGGATTTTGTTTCTAATACCTTAGACTCTCATTCAGTCCATCTACAGGAGTACCAGTTCCATGTACAGCTCCCTGCGTCTGAATGTCGTCATTCTCCGCAAGTACCTACTGGACCTCAATTTTCCCATTAGCGTTTGGGTCAGAAATCCTCTTTGAGCTTGTCCCCACTTCTACCATAGCTCTTCTGAAGGTCACCTGTACTGTTACAAAGTCTCTCTCCTCCTACTAGATGGAAGTTCCTGATGTGAATACTCACATCAGGAACGGGCACTCTTCACTCATGTGTATTCTCTTCACTCCTGTGTACTCTCTCCACTCATGTGTGTTCTCTCCACTCATGTGTGTTCTCTTCACTCATGTGTGTTCTCTTCACTGGTGTGTACTCTCTTCACCCGTATGTATTCCCTTCACTCATGCTTTCCTTCCATCTACATACCTACCTTCTCATTTTGACAGAAATAAGGGAGGTCAGTTCCCACTCTCTGAGGATCCCCTCGTTTTCTCTGGCCTCTACTCTTTTTCAAAGTCATTTCTGTCACAGTCCCTGTGTCCCGATCCCTGTCTGTCCATGGAGCCAGCTCCTCTCTATCTCGTCTTGGTCTCCACATGCCTCATTCACCATGTCCGTGTTATTTTTCTCTGGCATCTTTCAGTTTGCTTCAAGCCAGTTTTCCTGGGTGAAATGTGGTATTCCCCACACATTTTCAGTTACTAGATGTGATTTTCAGTGTGTGTGTGTGTGTGTGTGTGTGTGTGTGATCCTTTTCCATTTCCTCACTGCTTTTGTCAAAATATTACCAGCCACCAGAAGGACCAGGAGAAAAAGTGAATTGGTGATTAACCATCCTGAATGAATGAGTGAGTAAACACCACAGATAAATGCAAATGCCTCTGCATCTAGGGTGTCAGTCCACCTCTACTGTCAAGAAACATGTCAAGGGCCTGAGGCAGAAGGGATTGATTAGCAGATCCAAAGCCTGTCCTGAACATGTCTGAATCCTGCTCAGAGTCATAGAGGCAGCTAAGGACAGTCTTAGCTTGGCAAAATGCAGACCAAACAGAGCAGATTCCTTAAAAGTAACTGAGAATTGCTGAGGAAGGAATTAGCACCTTCCACCTGAATTACACAGGATAGACATCATGGCCCAAGAAGACCTGGACTGAGTCAGAGATGGCAGCAGAAGGCTTGGTGTGTGGACCCAAGACCAGACAGGCCTTATTCATGTGCTGGACTCACTTCCCCTGACAGTGACAACCAGGCAGGTTCCTCTCAACCTCCAGTCCCCTCATCTTTCTACCATGGGTGTAACTGTGTCTCTTGTAGGCCAAACTAAGAAATGGATGCTTCTAGAATCTCTCTCCCACCTACCAGGAAGAGTGAAGGTTAGCGTGTTATAAAAGTGGCCCATTTTTTTTTTTAGAACCATCGTTTCCCCTTAAATCACATGGTTTCCGAGACATTCAAGTTACACAAGGATTTTAGGTTATACACATGGTTAACAAAGCACTATTAATTTGCTCACACAGGAAGCAACAGTCCCATCTCTTCAGGCCTGAGATAAGTTTAGCTTTTGGTGTGACATTATTCTAAACAAATTCTCCAAGACCAATGGGAGGATGGGAATCTATACACTTCAAGGAGTCCCTTCCCCTTCTTTATTTTAAATAGAGGTAGCAACATCTCAGCAGTCACTGGAAAACTGTCTGGAATCTCCCTCCTTTGATCACTCATTCATTCTGTATGTGGGGTGTGTGCATGTACTCACATATGCATAGGGGCCAAAGGCTCTGTTGGTCTCCTCCTTTTCCCCTTGCAACACTGCTGTTCTCTCTCTCTCTCTCTCTCTCTCTCTCTCTCTCTCTCTCGCGCTCTGTGTGTGTGTGTGTGTGTGTGTGTGTGTGTGTGTGTGTGTGTGTGTCTGGGCCTGGGTCTGGGTCCCCTGGGATCCAGAACCCCCTTTGCTTAACCAACAAAACACATAAAATATTAAGCATTTCCCCAGTTTTCTGAACTTCCAATGATAACTATTGACTAGTACTTTCTTGGGATTCACTCACATTTGGCTGCACAGTTTTTTTTCCCATGTGAAGCCAAACTGAGAAAAAAAATTTAAGCAATCTGAGCTTATACACTGCTTAAAATTCATGCCCTGGGATTTAAAGAAAACCTTACCTATACACATATATATTTATCTTGCAAACAGACTATATACCAAGGTAAAATAAATGTTTGTCTTCCTTGAGATGTGCGTATGGATCTTGTTTTTTCCCTGGCCAAATCTCCAAAAGCCAAGTATTTAATGGGATGATTGATGTCTAGGGCCTGAGGGGAAAATAAAATTCTTTACTTCTCATCAAGAAAAGCACCCAGAGATCTGGATTCCAGCCCCAGTGCAGCCATCATCTAAGCGGGTAACCTTGCCGTCCCTCCCTTTCTCTGTTCTTGGTCTCTGTTGGATGGCCTGTCTGGGTGGAGCTGGGAATGGGACAGGAAGTGACCTGAAACCTAGCCAAACCCCCAAATCCCAAATCCCAGGACTCCAGATTTAATATGGGTAAACACCGGTAAGATTTTTGTTCTAAAAAAAAACATCTTAACACTGACTGCAAACATGGTCCCTAGGAGGTTTCCTCTAATATCATGCATTGCCCACTGGCCAGTGAGAGATGTCCGTCTTGATGTTGTCATGAATACTGTTACTATAGTAACAGTCCCTATTGGAACCTTGGGTATTTGCAATACAGATGAACCCTAGGTATTTGGTAAAGGTTTCAAGCCTGTGGCAGAGGCACCAGTTACCAGAACTCAGCCTGATGATCTGGACTTGCACCACCAACTCAGGATTTTGAGGTCTCTGGTACTAAGAACTCACACTTTCTACCCCATACATCCCACAGTGGGACTGCCCAGGCCCAGGGAATGACTAAGAAAGCCACAGTAGTAGGCACTGTGTCAGTCAGAATTTCCACATTCTTCTGAAAGATGAGCTGTGGGCCTCTCCTCCGAGGTTGGGTCTCAGGGATATAACTAATACCTCAGGGACAAGAGGGCTGTGGAAACACAGTTGAAGTCTACACATGGCTTGGCTTGGCCTGAAGCAACCTAGGAAGCTGAGGCTGTGGGAAGGAACCATACTTCATCACAGATTCAGATTTCAGTTCAGAACTGAGGCAAAGGTCCCACCAGCCTGGGCCTTCTGTCAGCATCTAGCCCTATGTGGGAGAAGAAACTCACTAGGAACCTTGGGGAGCCCAGCCCTAACTCCAAGACTCCGCTGTCCCAAGGTTGTGGCCTGAAAGCCAGGACCCCAGTGTTCTGTTCTGGGCCTCTGACAGTGGGGAAGGTAAATGATGGTCTTCCAGTTTCATGGTTCTAGAATTCCTGTCTGTGCCCTTCCTCACACTCTGGTATAGCTTCTATTCTGCCAAGCCCCCTCACCTTTCAGTTCCATGACACAAGGAGACTGTTTTTGGAGTCTTTGAAGAGTTTTGTACAAGCTGTGGCTTGGGCTTTCTGAATGAGCCCTGGGCTCCACTCTGGGTGTAGTCTCCTCAAGACAGGAAATACATGCCCTGGGAAATACATCCAGAGCTGATGTCAGCCCCTGGCTGGGCAGTCCATAGGCTGTAAGGTCAAGTGGATGGGCACTCTTCCCTAGCCTCTAGCTAGGGAAGTTCATACCATCCAGCTTTATCGTCCACCACCTCAGCCTCAGAGCCCAAGTTCTGTCAGGGAAGATAGTGACCGTACTCACTCTACTGGATGACCTCCTGTGTGGGTTCTCAAGACAGCCAATAGAACAGTTGGCAGACAGCTCCTGGAGAGACCCCTCTGGTATGTGGGCAGCATTTCTGATCTCACTCTCAAAGGTCATATTTCCACACAGTTCCTCCCTTCCTGCCCAACTCCACACAAGTTGTTTGTTTCTTAGAGCTAAATGCCATAGTCCAGTCCTTCTCAGCTACCTCGGCGGTATTCTGTCATAAACACTAGATACTAAGTGCAGGAAGAGGCAGTACCCTAAAGACAGCATTTACCACCCTGTCATTTGGGGGAGGTCCTCAATATTGTTCCAGATTGTACTTCCCCAGCACCTGTACCCAGGCCACATCCCTGAAAGCAATGCCCAGAGCACAGGTGCCTACAGACACACTAATACACCCATGCCCTCCTGAGCATAGACTCAGAGCAGAAGGTGCCATATGCTGGGTGTTCCATTCTTGTTTGGAACTTGGCTAGAAGGATCTACGCATTCTTCCCTGACAATCTCCCTTGAGTCTACATGTACCACTTGGGGGGGGGGTAATACATCTCATAGATGTGGTCCAGCTAGATCATCCAGCTTGCAACAGTTACAGAAAGGGTTTCAGCAGAGGTACCCATTCCCACATAAAATGGTGTGGTAACCAGGGAACCAGGTCTTTAGACTCATGGCCCCAGAAGTAGCAAAGACGACAGAAGGGGCTCCACTTAGCCTCTGTAGCCTTCCCTGAGCATTGCATAAGCTGTTTCTGCAAAGTCTGAAGCTGAGTTTTATCAAACATCTCCAGGGATTTTAGGAAGCGTGTCTGAGTTGGTGTATGACATGGAATATTAATGGCCAATACCTCATGAGCCCTGAATCAGGCATTCAGACTCTGTCATACATGGACCAACCCATGGCCCTAAGAGCTCAGGACTCTTAATCTCTCCACTTTATAGATGAAGGTTGTATATGGACAGCTAGTGATACTGCTGGGAGGAAACCTCTAGATCCATCCATACGACCCCAGGCCAACACCCATAGGGTTTGTTAGTGCCTATTGCTGGACCAGTGGGGCTAAAAAGAAAAGAAAAGAAAGAAGCTCTCTGATGTTAAAATCCCGGAGCATGGCTCCAGCACTTGACTCCTGACTTCATAGGGGTCTACTATATCCCTACAGCACTCAGTAACCCAGCAGAACTCCCTTACCATGTATCTCTCCTCTCTCTCCTTTCTCTCCTTTTGGGCCTCGCTCACCTGCAACAGAAGGAAAACAGGCATTAGGAATAGAAACAAACCCTGATTGTTACTAAGATGTTATCTTTGGATTTGCTAACCCACAGCTAGGGAAACCCTCAGGCAGGAACCAGCAGCCACCAGAGGGCACTGTGGGGAAGAAAATTATGACATCTGTTCAGGTCACATGGGAAAGAGTGAGAAAGTCTACTTCCCCCTCTAGTCAAAGTACAAGAGCGCCCCATCTGCCACATAACACCAAGGGATGCCTAGAATGGGGCAGGTGAACCATGAAGCAAAGTTAGTCAAAGTTGGAGAAATTCACACCTAAATTCATTCCCGCAATCGCAACGTGGAAGGGGACTGACCTCCAGCTGTCTATAGAGACCGGTTATACCAGGCTGTTTTTTCTGGTAGGGGAGACTGTAAAACATGAGGCAGAGTTTCCAAGGACTTGTGGAATTTCCTTTCTTCCAGGGTTGGGGTAAAAGATCAGAGCTTTTTCTATTTCCTTTTCACCCAGTAAAGAAGGGGAGCGTCCTGGCTCTGCTCAGTGGGCAATAGAAAGGCAAGGGCGGTTCTATTTTAAGGGTTTCCAGACATACATCTGCAAGCCAAAGCTCAATGTATCTGCATACTGTGGGGTGAAGAAAGCAAACTGCCAGGGGAGAGTATTTACTGTGGTCCTAAGCTTGAAAAACAAAACAAAACCAACCACGTGGTTGAACACATTTAGGGAAACATCCAGCAGTGTGTGCTCCAAAGAGTTCACAGTGGTTACTCTGAGGAGTAAGAGCCAAAGGGGCCAAAGAAGAAAGGACTTCCTAGTTACTGGACTCTTTGAATGTGTCTGTACTATCTAGTTGTTTTTCAATAAGCAGGGACTCTCTTTAAAAACTACATGTTTTCAAATTAGGATCACAAAAGAAAAACCTCAGTTCATTTTATCACCAGAGAATAGAACATGATTTTCCAGTGATCCAAGTTCTGGAGACCTTCCGGACACAAGGTGGAAATGATGAGCAGTACTTTTTCTAGGTTATTGTGGTAATGAGAGAAGCATGGCAGCCCGTGCATGGAACATCAGGTATTTTTGTCTGCTGATATACACACAAACATATATATGATATATAATGTACACACACACACACACACACACACACACACATATATATATATATATATATATATATATCAGGTTTGATGATATCTCATATATATCATCTCATATATATCATGATATATATGAGACATGGTCTCTCTATGTAGCTCTGGTTGGCCTGGAACTCGCTCTGTAGATCAGACTGGCCTTGAACTCACAGAGATCCACCGGCCACTGCTTCCCCAGTGCTGGGATTAAAGGTGTGTATTAACACAGCTGGCCAATTTGACAATTCTGAATGGAGAGGGAGCCATAGGAGACTGACTCTGAAGTAGGTTCCCCTAAAAATGAACAAGGGGACTAGCCACAGAAAGAAGAAATAGTGCTGGTAAAGTAAACCTGAGAAATGAAATAAAGTTATAAGCACTAGGGGGCCCATGAAGAATCTTGCAGAAAGAGAGGAGGCTGGTGTGACTATCGAGGAGGGGCGATATGGGCTTGCAGCCTAGTTTTGTTCTGAGAGACCCCTCATTAGACTCCCTGGCTTATATCTCTGGGCTGTAATTTTTATACATACATGTGCGCGCACACACACGCACGCACACACACACACACACACACACACACACACACAGCTCTGCTGGATGGCAGAAGTGGAGTGTGATCACTGGCCCACCCACTTCAGAGCTCCTAGGCTGCTGAAGGACTGAAGGTATGTGAGGCTCCAGGGTGCAGCAAGCTTCAGTATTACCTTTGAATCCGCGCATGCCCATGGGGCCTGTGGCCCCTAGCTTCCCATCATCACCCTTGGGACCAGGCAGTCCTGGGGTCCCTCTCTCTCCGGGCAGACCTGGGGTGAGAAGAGACAAGGGTGGAGCTGCAGACTCAGAACGGAAAGGTCCATTAGATGCCATTGTCTGGTTTAATGATGATGTGAACTCAGTCCTCCATAGGCGCTGCTTCCTCTTGCCTGGCATCCTGCAGGTCATCTCAGAGCTTCCTCATATGCATCTTTATTACCCTTTCCTGGCCTTCATCCTTGAAAGGCCCAGTAGTGCTGTGAGTGGGTAGTGATAGTGCCAGTCCCATTCAGATACCTGCTAGACTTCTAAATTCCGCAGACATCTTTTGGATTACTTTCTGTGTGCCAGGTATAAAGAATTTCATTTAATCCCCATGACATGCATGGAGGTATTATTTCACTCACACTACAAATAAGGAAACTGAGGCTCATGGATGGTAAGCCACTTGGGCACACAGCAAAGGGCTTTGGAGGCAGAATCTGAGTCTTGTTCCTTCTTATAGAAAGTTTGTGATTGGTCAGCATCATGTGGTACTTTAGGCTAAGGGGCTTGCTTGCTGGTCCTTAGGGAGAGGATGCTATAGGGATGGCATTAATAAGTGAGAGAAGGTGAGGTAATGCCTCAACCTATTTAAAGAAAAACGAAACAAAACACTCCCTTTCTTTCCACAAGTAAGGGCCAAAACTAGAGGACATCCACAGAACCAATCAATGGGTGCACAGTCTGCCATCCCATTAGGCCCTGTACTCCAGGTTCTTGGCCATCAGACCCGATGGCCACAGCCTGCACTGAATGCACCATGGTGAGCCAGAATCAACAAACACTTTTATGAAGCAAGAGCCCTAGGCTCCCAAGAGTCCTGACCCAAGTCTAGTCATCGCTGCAGAACATGGCTCTCTTAATCAACTGCCTAATTGTTCTTTCCTGCTTGGAGAGCAAGCTGGTTTTTCTTGGGCTTTTTTTCCACAGCACAAGAAACCTATCTCCCAGTTATTACCCTGGGGCTAATATCAAATGACTGGGAGAGGACAGTGGCCTCCCAAGGGTGTGAGGACATCAAGAAATTGATGGAATGTCTTTCTTTCCCTTCTTGACATGATGCATCTGTTCCCAGAGTCTGAGTCCTGTGGCAACTGAGCTCTGAGCCTAATGCAAGATGTGCATCCAGCAGGAAAAGTGGCTCCACTGTCCTTAGAGCCTCAGGGCATCCTCAGCCATGGAGCTGAGGACAGAATGGAGGTCAGGCTGGAGAGCTCCCCTTCCATGCCCTGTCTTCTCTCCCCTGTCTGCAAAGTACTTAGAGATATGGCAGGAATAATTCCTAAAATAAATACAATACCCTTCCCCAAGAGGCTTCTTCTCCTTGCATCATTTTGAAGCCTCTTCACTCAGAGGAATGCTGCCTGCCACACAGGCTCAGGAATGGGCAGACTCCCATGTTTGACAGAGGCCCTGATAGGAAACTTCTAAGACTATGAGTCGAAGAAGAACATAGTCTTTCTAGAAGGTCTAAATCCCCCTCCTCCTGCCACCAGCCATCGGGAATTGGACATCAGCAAGTGGGATGGGGCAGGCTCCTAAAATCACACAACAGCTGATTCCTATGTGGGCAGTGGATTAAGGGACCTGGGAACTCTTGTGTGTTCTTCCCTTAAGATCCTGCTACTTCATAGGGAAAAGCATTTGGCCCATTCTACGGTTGATTGACATTCTCTTAGTCACCTGGTGGAGGAACAATGGAAGTCTATTATCCCTAGGAAGAGAGGGTCAGGGACACCCCCAGGTTCCTCCCAGGATACCCCATTACCTCGAAGTCCAGGAAATCCAGGAGTACCCGGCTTTCCCTCCTTTCCTTCATTGCCCTGGTCACCTTTGGGTCCTGGTGGCCCTGAAAGATGACAACAACAATATTAGAGGGTTAGAAAGCCAGGACATCAGTGGAGAAAGCAAACAACTCCCTTTATGATGAGAGGAAGAGTCAAAATTCTTCTTTGGAAGCACATAGATACCAGTTACTCAGCTTTGGGGGGCACCAGGGGAGGTCCCAAGAAATCTCAAGAAGAAACAGGTGCTAGCTAAGTAAAGAAGTGTGGAGGGTATTCAGGACTATTCCTGCCCCTCTCAAATCCATATGTTGAAGTTCTTACCCCCTCCAGGTTATGGTTTGGAAAGGTGGGGCTTTAGGAGGGGGCTGGGTTTATGTGAGGTCATGAGGATGGGGCCCTCCTCAATGAGATTAGTGGCTTTATAAAATGAGGAGGGTCAGTTATGGTAGAGGACACCTGTAGCCCTAGCACTTTCTCAGGAGGCAGAGGTAGGGGGATGGAGAGCTTAGGGTCATCCTGGGCTACATCATAAACGTCCCATCTCCTGCCTGACACCTTTGAGCTTGGCACTAGCACTCATGTATGCCTTTTCTCTACCATCATTCCTGTCTCCTCCCACCCCCCCCCTGCCAGACCAGAATACAATACCCCAGGAAAGGAAGCCCTCAACTGAACCCAACTATGCCAGTACACTGAACTCAGTCTTCCAGCTTCCAGAATTGGAAGGAAAGAAATGCCCGTGGTCTAAGCCCCCCAGCCTCCCTTTAAGTGGTCAGGGCTGACCAAGACATAGTGAGACCAAGGGAGAGCTTTGTGCAGAAGAAGCAATCCCTACAGGAGCAGGGGCTCAGTGGGCTGGGAAAGTGGGGTATTGGAAGCCTAGGTGCTGAGCTTGACCCTGACAGGGGAGTGCTAGAAGCCTTGGAAGGGGCCTGGTGGGAGAGCCACAACAGGTCTGCATACAAGGAAGGGAGGGAGATGGCTGGGCTGTGTGTGACAGAGGGATGGAACAGGAGGAAGGTGAGAGGCAGGAAGGCAGAGGCTGTGGTCCATTCAGGTGGAAGGTAGAACGTGGAAGAGACCTGGGTTAGGAACGTGATCATCACAGACATGGGGGGATGGCCGTGCTGTTTAGAAAGTAGGACAGCTTTTGGCTTCCCCTGGGGTAGCAGGGGAGGAGGCCAGGCTAAGCTCAAGTTTCCAGCTGGGCACCTGGGTGGAGGATAAGTTTCTAATTGCTTGTGAGTAGGGCTTCCTTCCAGGAGAGGCTGCAGTGTGGCAGAGATTCAAGTATACGTGACTGAATTCAGTCTCCATGCCTTTACCATGTGTTGAAGTTACTTGTCTGAGACCACACAGGCAGTCAGCTGGTGAAGGAGCCACGATCTCAGTCCAGGTCTGCCTGGCACTTATCCTTTCTGCCACACCCATGGGGCCAGACATCTCACCCGCCCCACCTTTCTGCCACTCATTCTGGCACCTGCTGTTCCCAAGCTGGTGAACTCAGAAGTCCTCCTTGTCAACTTTGTATCTACAAGCTGGGGATGCTTCTTATCACTTTGCTGGTGACCTTTCTTGGCCCCATGGTTCTTGCTGGTATGGGCACAAGCTGGAGAAGCAGACCTGCAGTATTTTGATGCAGCCCTCAGACAGCCTTGGCCTGTCTTCTTTCTTTCCTCCTTCCCAAAGGCATCCTGAATACCTGACCCTGCTGTGGGAACCCAGGCTGCAAGCACCCACCTCTTGATCTACTGGCTGACTGGTACTCCCAGCTCATCTGTCTCCAGAACATCCTCACCTTTTTTAGGACATTGGGTTTCTACAGATGTGATTAGTTAAGGTCATACTGGAGCGGGGTGGACCCTATTCTTGTGACCGGAGTCCTGTAAATTGTCAGAGGCACAGGACAATGGAAGCAGAGGTGGGAATGAGGCATCTGCAGACCAAGATTGCCCTGGTCACCAGAAGTTCAGAAGACACAGGAAGGACCCTCCCTCTGAGTGTCAGAGTGATGGGATCCTATGGATGCCTCGGTTAAGGGTTTGCAATCTCTAGACAATCAACTGTTATTTTTAGCCCCAGTCTGTGGTGTTCTCCCAGGAAACCAAAACATGTAGGCTCACAGCAGACCAGTGTCTTGCACAATCAATACTTGACAAATGAATGAGTATATGAGATCACGGGGTGTTGATACATACAAAACAACCTAGCTGCCAAGATCGAGATGTACTGATACATTCCAAAAGTTGGCACTGTCCTCAGACCTTAACCAAAGTTGACAGCTATTTAACAACTCAATGGCACAAGAGCAAGGAAAAAGTAGTCAACATTTTTTTAATTCATGAGTTACATAAAACATTTATGGAAAGCTGGAGTTTTTAGGCATCATCTTAGTTTTAATCCCAATTTTCAGATAACAGGATCAAGATGTGAAATCTGTTTTATCAAGAATTATACAGCCAATGAAAGGCAGAATTAAGATGCAAATGAGCTCCATCACCCCCAACCCGTACACCATTCCCATCCCAAATCCAGAAGTCTCCCCTCCAGGTCAAACCCAGCAGCAAAGGAAACCTAGCCCAGATCTCTGTTGCTAAATCCCGTCCATCCCATACATTTTGCCCCATTTCACTCTTCTTCTCTCCTGCTAGAGCCCCTGGGCTCCAAGTCCTGAGACCTTTACAACTGTGTCAACCCACAGCTGGCATTCTGAGGTGACCTCAGGGTAGCATATGTGGTTACAGCCTCAGTTGTGGCCAGCCTTGCCAATGTGCCTTTTTACTTCTCAGATGTTTATAGTCACATGTCTTGATTTATGAAGTAGATCACAGAATGGAGGAGGTTAAGACAAGGTCTGCCTACCATCTGAGCCCACATGGACCCTACCACTGATTACTCTGCCTCAGTTCCCCAAAGCTACAGGGCCCTGGGCATTTACTCTTTCTACAACGTAAGAGCACAGGGTGTCTGCTTCCTTATTCAAAATATCCTGACCTAAGAAAAGGACAGGGCAGAGACTGCCAGCTCCATTCCACAGCCAGCAGAACAGCACCTCCAAGAAGTTCAGTGGAAGCCCTGCTGGAGAGACCCTCAAGGACGAAGGAATGGGGACAGGATGAATCTATTTCCCCACCTTCTCAGAGGCAGGTGAGGAGACAAAGGGATCTGTATACATACCCCAATCCTCGTAGGGCAGTTACACTTTTTTTTTTTTAAGTGGCTCTGTTCACAGCAATGGTCGGTCCACTATTAACTGGAAGCCAGAGTCCCCCACTCCTTAACTCCCCACACTGAGGAGGACTCCCTCTTCTACCCACTAGATGGCGTTTTCTGTCGAAAATAAAGCAGGTCCAGATAAGCTGCTTTGAAAACTTGTTTTCATTAATCAAGAGGTGTGCTTTCTACATCTGGCTTGGCATTTGATTTGGATAAGTCATTTCCCCTCTCGGGGCCTTGTGGTTCTCCACTATGATACAGGAGGATTAGACCAGATGATTTTAGAGGCCTATTCCCATTCCAAAGAATTTTAGAAGGCTTGCATTTCAGCCATCTGCATATGGCTGGGTGGCCTGGCTCAAGGCTTGCTGCACCAATAATATCTTCTGGCATGTCTCCTCTCTCTGATTTTCCTTCCTCCCCCAGGGATAACTCTCTCTGATAACCTAAGTTCTCTATGCCTTTAAATCCCACAGACAGATTTTGTAAGATGCTGAAAAATCCAGAGTAGAAAAAAACCAAAAACCAAAAACCAACCAACCAAACAAAAACCCCCAGTGCTCTGTTGAATGTCCATGAAAGATGAACTAAAGTCAAAAACCCATAGAACACTGCACAGCAAAGTGAGAGAATGAAAACAATTTGGGGCAAGCTCAATGACAATGTAAATTCTCTCATCTTTGAAAAATACATGCCCTTGAGTATTTGTGGATTCTGAGCTAGAAGAGAGCAAAGGGGAGGGTGCTGTATATGTGCCTGTCTGCATGTGTGCATACATACGATGTAGGTGTCTGTATGTGCATATCTGTGTACCCATGACTTATGCATTCACATACATTTCTCTGTTCCTATGTGTACATATACATGTGAGTTGTATGCAAGCGTTTGTGCATGTGAACATGTATATGCTCCTGAGTTATGCATGGAGGTGTCTATATATGTGCTTGTGCATGTATATGTACATGCACGTGAGTTATGTATGCGGTTGTCTGTGTATGTATGTATAAACACATGAGAATTATGTATTTGTGTTTGCAAATGTATCTGTGCATGTGAGTTATACATTCAAGTGTATTTATGTGCTTATAAATGCATAGGCATGTTTGCACATGTGTGTGTATGAATGTGTACATGTGTGTTTAGAGAGGAATAAATTAGAGAGGAATTAGAATTATGACAAGAAGGCCACTCCAATAGCAGTATAGAAGAACATTCTAGATATGCACCGTTGAAGGTCCCCAGGTGATTATAGCCTCCTGTGCTCACTGGGGAAGATCAGAGATGGGACTGCAGCATGATGAGGAAAGGATACAGGGCTGAAAATGAAATGGAGAGATGCAGGTGGTTCTATCTACCTCTGTATGGGAGTGGAAGGCAGACAGGACCAAAAGGAATGCTCCAGAGAGCATACCAGGGGTCACAGGAGCATGGGCTCACCAAGGCCAGAATCCACACCTGGCTCTACTCCCGCCTCACCCTGCAACCAAGGCAGGCTGTTTAAGCTTCCTGGGCCTCAGTGCCCATGCCAACACACAAGGTGACAGTGACGTATCTCCAGAGAGGGTGCTGCTCTTGAGGGATGCTGTGTGGCATGCCCTCAGTACACCCACATGCAGCAGGTGGACTTCAAAGGACAATGTCAGTAATGCTAGCGTCCAGACCAATCAGGATTTCATGAATTGCACAGCTGTGAGAAGAGGGAGGCTGGTTTGTCAGAAAAGAGCAGAATTATGTCTCTAGGCTAACAGCTGTTGGGTGTGCTGGCTAGTTTTATGTCAGTTTGACACAAGCTAGAATCATAGAAGATAAGGAAAAAACTGAGAAAAATGTCTCCCCAAGATCAGACTGTAGGCAAGCCTGTAGGGCTCGTGGGTGGTGCAGTCCCAGTGATGCTGGTTTGGGATTCTATAGGAAAGTAGGCTGAGCAAGCCGCAGAGAGCAAGCTAATCAGCAGTACTCCTCCACGGTCTCTGCACCAACTACTACCTCCAGGTTCCTGCTCTGTTTAAGTTTCTGCTCTGACTTCCTTCAGTAATGGACTATGATGTGGAAATGTGGACCAAATAAACTTCCCCAATTTGCTTTTGGCCATCGTGTTTCACCACAGCTGTAGTTACCCATTTATTAATAACTTCATTCATTCATATACAGGGTCTTCTTAAATAGACCAGTCTGGCCTCCATCTGTTGATCTTCCCACCTCTCTCTCCTGAGTGCACACAACCAATTGTGTTTAGAAAATGAATCAAATGTACTCTACCTGGGCAAACATATTTTTCTAACCACCTAGTAGGCCAGGTTCAAGTGAGCAATTCTGCAGTCCTTGGAGCTCCACTGGTTTGGGCAGAACATTCTAGAGTCATACAGTGTAAGACTTAAAGGTGAAGGTATGAGTTTAAACTGTCACTCTGGGATGGGTCCTTGGCATGAGCTTTGTAAGGGGTGGGGGTGGGGGAGCCCTGAGCAAGAAGGGCACCTGCTGCATGTGGGTGTACTGAGGGCACTATAGGAGGCACTATAGACTGGGTTAGGTCACTCAAGTACCTTTGGCAAGGGTGATGTTCCTCAAGGCAATGGTGTGTTCCCAATCCTTGAGACGCAGGTCCTCGGTCACCACGTTGAGCATGGCCAGCTCCTGCTTAAGCTGCATCTCCATGTCCATGTGCACCAGCCTCATGCGGCGTGTGTCAGCGCTGGTATTGCTCACCAGAACCTGCAGGTCCTGCAGCCGTGTGCTGTGCAGGGCCACATCATAGGACAGGCTTTGGTTGAGGCCACGCAGTGCGCCACCCACGTCAGCCAGCTCCTCACTCAGGACGCCCACCCTGCGCGCCAGCCCGTCCAGCAGGCCCTTGTGCCGCTGCAGCAGCAACTGGCTGCGGTTGCTCTCTACCTGCAGCTGATAGAGTTCCAGCTGTGCGGAGTCACTCTGCTGTCCAGTGCGGTCACGCAGCAAGGCCACTGCCTGCTCAGTCTGTGCCGCCTGTGCATGCAGCCCCCACAGTGTACCCTCCAACCGCTGCACTAAGCCTGCCAGGGCCAACAGCGAGTCTGTCTGGTTCTGCAGCGCATCCTGAACCTTCCACACTTGTTCTGTCAGGTCCGCCTGCAGCGGAGCCTGCAGCAGCCGCAGCTGCATGTCCCGGAAGCTCTCATTCAGCTGGTTCACATTCCGAGTCAGCACCTTTAAGTCCTCTGGGGAGCTTCGAGGCCTGGACACTGTGGAGGAGGTGAGAAGTGAGAAGGGTTGGGCAGGGAGGTCCAGATAACAACAGGCAGACCTATGGCATACAGTAGGTGCTCAAGAAAAGGTAAATGAAAGGGAGGCATGACTGATACTGAGAACCTTAGTAGATCCCTGCCACTGTGCTAAGGGTGGTCCCCAAACCTGTCACTATAATCACTTGCAGATATTACTGACACTGGGCAGGAACTTTAAAAGAGTCATGGTAATTCTGAGTTGGAGCCTGGTTTGTAGGCTGCTGCACAAATATACACACCATCTGTCAGTTGTTCCAAAGGAAATGGCTGGTTTGTTTCCATTGTATAGATGATGGATATGGACAGTTTTGAGGAATTCAACTTAAGATATTGGTTATTCTCTCTGAAGCTCAAGGAACATCCCGGAAGAGGGGACGGAAAGAATGTAAGTGTAGGAGGAAGTGCTTGTGTACAAGGATGTCTTCCAAGTATGGCAGGGCCTTTGTACTTATGGATTTACAGAACCCACACAAGATGGGGCTGCCAATATTCTGTCCTACGGGAGAGAGGGGTTCCTCCTTGAAGAGTTATTGGCAGTTAATGGTTGCTAGAGAGAAGGGAGATGTTTTCTTCAGTGATGTGGCGTCTGGCTAGCTGCCCATGATCCTCTAAATACTGCTCAGCCATGTTCCTGTAAATAACTCTAATTAAACTTGGCCACACACACACACACACACACACACACACACACACACACACACAAAGAGTGTATGTGTGTTATGATCCTTTCCACCTCAGGAAGTAGGTACCAGCAATCACCTAAAATTCATCTATGGGAATTTAATAACCTAATTCCCAGTGATAATATTAAGAGATGAGGCTTTTCGGAGGTGACTAGGTAATGTGGGCAGAACATGGTATCACAAATACGATTATGACTTGCTTGAAATTCAAGGAAACTGTTCACCCTATCCCCATAGCAGAACATGTAAGAGTTGCCATGAGTCATTGAGTCATGTGGGGACTTGGTCCTAGACTTCCAGCCTCCAGAACTATGAGCAAAAAAAATTCTGTTGTTCACAAATTATACAGTTTAAGGTGTTTCATTATAGTGGCCCAAATAGACTAAGCCAGTCCCATTATACCTCCTTTTATGGCTAGGCCTGTTAATGTGGCTCAGGATAGCAAGCAAATCCTATCCCAGTGGGGAAGCCCAGAACTGGGTTTCCCTCTATGTCTTCTCTGGAGCTGCCTAAAACAATCCCACTAGGAAACAGGCAGGGCCAGAGACAGTGACAGTGCTGGTTTTATGGCTTCCTCTGTTCAGGGTCCTGTCTTGTTTGGCTGCAGCACCTCTGGGCAGTGGGGCAGTGGTGGTGGTTCAGATCTGTTCCTTCTCCTTCTCAGCCCCCTTCCACCCTTCTAGCTTTCCTATGATTTTCCCCAGCAAAACCAGTCACCCTGTCCCTCCCAACATTTCCATGTGGATAACGGTCCTTTCCCTGGTTATGAAATATCCTAAGAGGAGAAATCGTCATCACTAGATTCTAGCATCGTGGTGTCTCCTGGGAGTGCCTGCAAACTGGATGCTGAGGTATCTAGGGACCACTGCTCTGCTTTGTAGAGTGTGAAAAGGAAACCAATGGCTGTGGTGGGACTGGGACAAGAATGAGCTAATTCTGCTTTGGAAATCTTGAAAATCAGAGGGCCAGGGCCTTAGGACAAAGCTTGGTCAAACAAGAAAACAGGCACACAACTCTGTGAGGACTCTGCATTGGAAGTGATAGGAGACAGGTGGGTTTGCGGGGCAATGCTTATGGTCTGTATCATAGAGACACACCTGAACTCCATGCTGTAAAACGAAGCAGCCTAGCTCAACCTCCACATACTATTGGGAGTTTGTTTGTTCGGAGACACCTGCCTACCTCAACCCAGACATCCTTGGAGGAATATAAAGTCGAAACTAGCAGAATTAACTCGACTAGCATTTCTAGAAGTTCTTGAGCCCACACAGCCACAGAATGAGGGAAGAGCACATGGAACACGAAGAGGAGCATAGAAAAGTGACTGACACTTGAGCAGAGGGGCAAGCAAAGAGGCTGACACCCAAGCTCCAGGAGGATTGACTGGCTCTTCTCTGTTTTCTCCCTATGAAATCTGCTGGTTGGAAAAGAGATGAAATAAAGAGACATAGGGTATCAAGCCACTGTCTGTTCAGATTGCCAGCACTGTGAATAAAGAGCAATGATTCCTTTCTCTGATTCAGAGGTCATAAGTATCATGAACAGAGTTCTGGCTGTTGGTGGGGGGCGGAATGGGTGGCGAGGGTTCTTGCTTGCCATGATAACCTGCTGCTGTGCTCCTTCCGTGATGTCCCTGGAATCACACACATTTGTGGTGACCCTTTTGGAGAACTCAAGTCACTTTAGATAAGGTTCTGAGATGTGGAGCTGAGTGACACCTAGAGGCCTGCTTCAACTTTCCCCCATTGCTTTGACCACAAAAGCGAGTCTGCGAGCGCTCACTCTGCCTCTCCATCATCAGTTAGTTCTGACTGTTGGAATATTTTGCATTCTGTTCTTATTTGAGTTGCCACACTGAAGTTTCTATCCATGGGCCTTTCCCTTTAGTAGAATATGGAACCCGTACATTTCCCAACAAGGTGGTTGTTCAGAATTTCATAGAAATGCATCATCCTTTGAATACATAGAATCTTTTCTACTTAAAATCTACACTTCCCTCATTCTCAGGGTTAGCCTCCAGACATTCTGGCTGCCTTCTGTATTTGCTCCAGTTTGTCACTCATACCTTGACAAGAAATGATTGACAAACTAGGTTGAACAAAAGTATGGACAGGTAGAGCCTGGCAGAAGGATTATCCCCTTCATTTCAGTCATGAGAATTCTGGTGAAGTGGCCCAAGCCAGGTATTGTCAGCCCCCTCTGGGCTCTGCAGAGCTCAGCCACTGAATGGATCCCCACACTCTCTGGTGAACTAGACGCTTCCCCCATTCTACTGATGAAGAGACTGAGGCCAGGAGGCAGAATGACCATTAGTGACATGCCTCCCGACTCTTTTTCCCATGGTCCACACCACTGCCACCCTCTGAAAGGTGAACTACACAGTTGTCAATATATAAGCAGCTTGCAGGGGAATGAACCCATGAGCAGCCACAGCCAGGAGTCCCACAGGACTGTGAGCTGAAGGGATCCACAGCAGGACAATGTGTCTGCATGTCCCACCACATGGGGTGAGGCACTGAGATAGGGCGGGTGGAACACAGAGATCCCAACATTTTCTCATGACTCTCTGTTCAGGACACCCCGGAGCTCTGGCAAACCTCAGTTTACCATAGGTAGAAAGGCCACCATGAGGTCTGAGGATTCTGCTTCTGACATTGTGACTGGGAGAAAGAGTGCTAATCCCTTAGCTGAAGTCACAGGAATGGTTTAAGGCTACATTTACCCAAAGTCCAGGTAGTGAGCCAAGCAACTCTTTTTTCCTTTCTCTGCTTCTCAGCCCTGAAGGCCTCAAACCCTGCCCATCAGAACTTTTCTTTGGTGCCTGGAGGTTCTAGGCCTTCCTCTTTGTCCAGGGAATGGAGCTAAGCCTGTGTCCATATAGGGATAGCTGACAATTACCTTCCCCAGTCCCAGGGAGTCCCCAGGAGTCCTTGTTCTTTGCACAACCAATCTGAATCCAAATCCAAATTAGAAAGGAACTCCTCTCCAAGCCCACACCCTTCTGCAAAGCTCCTCCCAAGCCCACACCCTCCTGTAAGGCTCCTCCCAAAACCACACCCTCTTGCAAGGCTCCTCCCAAAGCCACACCCTCCTGCAAGGCTCCTCCCCAAGCCCACACCCTCCATCAAAGCACTGTTTGCTTTGTTCTCCCAGCCCTATCCATTTGCATACCCAGGCTTTATAATGCCATTTCTGCAGTTTTCCATTTAATATTGCAACTATAATTATTTCACACAATTTTTTTTACCATCTTTCTCTTAGTTTCTTATAATTTTGTTGACTCAAAGAGTTTCGGGAGGGGATACATTTTTATCTCAGCAAATAAAAACCAACCTCTTTTCCTCTTTCTTCCTTCCTTTCTTCCTCTCTCTATTTCTCTCTCTCTTTTACTTAAGATTTTCATAACAATAAAGACTCAGAAGTTGGATTAGTAGGCCAATAGATATATAGACATTTTTATGACTTAAAAAAAAATCCCATAATCAGATGTGGTGGCTCACAACAAACACAAGGGAGGCTGAGGCAGAAGAAGTGCCACGAGTTTGAACCAAGGCTAGGCTACATACTAAATTATAGGCCAGCTGGAGCTACAGAGTGAGATTACCCTCCCATCAGTCTCAAAAGCCAAAACCAACCAAACAATAAAATCAAAGACAATGACTTTCTCCAAATAAGCTAATTCATACTTACAGCATAGATGCTTAAGAGAGTCAGTTTCAATACACCTCTACTTCACACTACACATCACAGTTTTCTTATTGCTCATTCCAGGTAGAGCGTGGCACCTTGTTATTAGGGTAATTCTGTTACAGACTTTTCAAGGTGATGTGTCTGTTTATTAGAATGGTCTAGCTAGTGTAGGTACGTAGACCAATCAGATCACTGTTTGTGAGGTCAAATATTTTCGGGGCCCTGACTCATGTTGGCCAAGCCTAGAGCAATGTCCTTCCTTTGGGACCATTTACGCACAGCAGAATGAATTATCTCCTTCCAACAGTCACCGAGTGTTCTCTGCTCATGAACCACCCCCCCTTAAATTCTTTCCAGATGGTTGCTGTCCTCAACAGGGAACAATTCTTACTTGAGTGTGACTCTCTAATTCGTGTTTATGTAAACAGCTCATTTATCTCCCTTCCTGGCATACCTACTCTTAATGTGTTTTAATGATTCTTCAACTTTTATACTTTCACAAGTGGGAAAGTAAACCATAGAGTAACAATAACAACTGTCATCTCCTGAGGTCTCACTGTGTGCCAAACACTTTTCTGCATGTCT